AGGTTCTATATACATGCACTAGAAAGAAAATGTTACTTTTGAAAGAAAACGAGAATGCTAAAAGTGAAAAATATACATGTCGTACAGGGCCATGATGCCCCCTCAGAGGCTTGATACTCCGACACGGGCCTGACGCCCCTCACCAGGATCATATGCTCCACCTGAGCGAGATGCCCCAACCGGGCCATATGCTCAACCTAGTTAGATGCTCCACCGAACCAAATGCTCCACTGAACCAGATGATTTTACCGAGCCTGATGTCTTCACATGACTAGATGTCCTAACGGGACCATATGTTTTCACAGGACTAGATACCCTCATAGGAGCCAGATGTTTTCACAGGAGCTCAATGTCTTCCCAGGATCCGGTTTTGTTCTAAACGCCCTGATCGAATCTCAGAGCAAGGATCTTAAGGTCGTAGCGGGAGAAGCCAGTCGAAATGCTGAGAGAGAACGTCGATCAGACTTCTTCAACCAACCTTGGTAAGCGCATCATCACTGCTCACTCTGGTTTCTAGTGTCTTTAATTTGCTCGAATTATGTGTATTGGAGTTGTTGAAGTGGCGAAATTCCACTAATTGATTGATGATACGTTTCTGAATAATAACATGTTGCAGGGTCGAAGATGCAGTAATACGTTACTTGAACCGGAAGCCAGCAGCTGGGGACGAGGGGCCAGGGAGTTGGTGAGTTTGTTGCCGATACAAGTCTCATCATCTGTTTGAGCTTTTTTAGAAGAAGAAGAAGAAATTGTTGAGACCAATCTGTTTTAAAAGGGAACTAGTGTATCGGTAATCTTGTGTATGATGAAACATTATTATTTATAATTAGCTTTGTTTTGTAGCTTTTTTTACTTTAATGGTTATGTTTTGAGAAATTGAGTCGAACTTAGAGAAATATATGCCTGCAAGGTGCACCTCTTCTTTTTCACATGTTTTTTTGGTCAATCATAAAGTGATTTCATGTTAAAAATAAATTAAAGCAAATAGTTTAATACTGTAACTGATAAAGGGAAAAACTATACATATAGGTTTGGACATGGCAATGCATGCACCAAAAATCAAATCTAAAAGACTCATGCCAAGAGACAAGGCGACGTTTCCTAAACAGATCGTCACTGCTCGAACCAAGTTCCTCTGTTTCTCCACGTTGTCGGAACAAGGTGATCTTGCAGAGTTTGGTAATTTGGGTTTTTCTTTTTTTTTGGTCAACAAGTTGTGTACTTCAAATCCTTAAAAAAAAAGATATATATTTTGGTTAAAATGGTCAACGTTATGCTCACATGTTACAGCATCATCATTCTTGTCTTTAAAATAATTCACTAAGACACACGATCACTGGAGAGTCTGGATCCAAGAAGCATTGACATTGAAGTTTTCTCTGTAAACTAATTTAAAGCAATGTCGATGTTGCTTCAGAAAATTTTCTTGTTGCTTCTCATTTCCTGTTGCGCATCTTCAGGTACATTTGTAATCTCAATCGCTTAAGCAATATGCCTCGTTTATATTTTGTTTTGGGTTTCTTCTATGAGTTTTGATTCATTTCATCTTCAGAACTCAGATTTTACTAATACCTCAATGTCTTGGGATTGATTGAGTCAAGTTTGTTCATTTTGATATGCAGATTTTCTCGAAAATCCCGACTTCGAAACATCACCATTAAACTTAACAAAAAAACTCAAATGCAAGCTCTACCTCATCCTTGTTGCTGGATCAGAACAGTACACTCCCTGGATGGACATTCCAAGGGACAGTTCAATATGTTACTTCACTTGAACTGCCTGATACCGGGCATGCGATTCAGCTCGGTGAAGATGGTAAGATCAATCAGACGTTTATCGCCAAAGGTGATGATTTGCACTACATCCTCACGTTTGCACTCATCCCCGGAGGCAAGAACTGTTCAGCCTCAGCTGGTCTCATTGTCTCTGGACCAGACAGCAATGCAGTTTTTTCTTACCGGCATAACTACAGTCAGGTTCCATGGCAGAGCTACAGTCATAACTTGGGTAGTTGGGGAAATGGTGAGCCTATAAACTTAGTTCTTGAAAGTCAGACAATAGATTCTGATACAAACTCCACATGTTGGCCTATTGTTGACACATTGCTCATCAAGACTGTTGGTGTAACACTGGTCCAAGACAGTGGTAAGTCATCAAACTTGAGAACGTTAAAACTGAATTCATAGATGATATATTGTAAATTTAGTTGCATAGACTCATACTCTGAATTTGTTGGTGTAGGTAACCTCTTAAGCAAACGGTGGATTTGAATCTGGACCGGGTTTCTTACCCAACTCAACCGAGGGAGTTCTGATTGATGCGGTGCCAAGTCTGATCCAATCAGCATTAAGGCAATGGTCTATTACCGGAACAGTCAGATACATAGACTCAGAGCACTTCCATGTCCCGGAAGGCATAGCTGCAATAGAAATTCTGGCTGACACATCTCCATCTGGTATACAGACAGCAACAAGAGACACAAGTAAGGGTTCTAGATACAACCTCACATTTACATTAGGAGATGCTAACGATGCGTGCAGAGGATATTTTGTGGTGGGTGTCCAAGCTGGATCTGCGGCTCAAAACTTCACACTGGAGAGCAACGGACTGGGTCGGGTGAGAAGTTTGGGTTGGTGTTTAAAGCAGATGAAGCTGCAACACAGATAAGTTTCACCAGCTACTCAGGTACAATAACAAAAGAGGATGTTCTTTGTGGTCCTGTGATTGATCAAGTGATGGTACTTCCACTTGGTGGAACAGCCTTAGTAAATCCCACATGGCTTCCCACATGGCTGCTACTTCTTTTTGCTTTGTTGTACGTAGCAGTTCTCTGATTGAATCTGTTTGGGAGAGTGATCATAAAAATATATTTTTGCAAGGAGATGTGATAATCATTCTAGTTTCATGATTATATATAAACACATTCGTCACACATGAATCTTTCACAAATACATTGGGGGTACGACCATGGTTAATTTCTACTTTTATGTAGAAAGCATACATACAAAAACACCCTTGAATCCTTAGAATAAGCAGCCACCGACTCATCAATTCCTCGATGTAAATGGGATCTGCAAGGCTTTGAGCTTAGAGAGAACCTGCTTGTTCACAGAGATCTAGCAGAGCTAGTGTCTGTGTCATCAACAATTTGATTAGGACAGACTAAAATCAGTGGAAAATGGATGGGTGTATCGAACGATTAGCATACCTCAGGGATGGTGAGCTCGAGTCGGAACTTGGGACCATCATAGTGGTGCAAAACCGGCCTGAAAGAATCTTCTTCCAAAGCTTTGCACAGTTTCCTTACACGAATTCTCACCTATTATGTTGTAAAATCACCATTTGGGAGTGTGTGAATCAGTCATTAAAAAAAGATGAAGTTTAGAATCTACAACGGAGAAGAGAAATGGAACCTGTGCAGGAAATCTGGATTCTCCTTTGCATTTCTTGTCCTCCCAAGCAGTTGGGTCAATGTTTGAGCCTCCAAAGGTTGTTGCCTTTGCAAAACACAGAGAAGCAATAATCATTGGAGTCATAGAACAAGTCATGACCACCCTTGAGAAAGTAAAGTGCTATATGGAACAAACCTCAAAAATTCCATGCAACTGATGAGTTGTGTAGTTGTAGAGAAACAAAGGCAGGCCTGGTGTTATCGTCCTAACCGAGTCCCTGTATCTCGGTGGCAAACCTGACATACACAAAAGCAACACTCGAAGATAAGTACATATGAACTAACAATAAATTGTAACCCTTAAATGGGAAAACTCCAAGATGAATGAGATACCAAAGAGCTGGCGCTTCAGATCTTCCAGCATTGTGTCGTTGTTACAGACAAAGACATAACCCCCAAGCACTTCACTCTTTGGGAGACACTCCGAGGCAGGTAAGGTCTTGAACCTTTTGTCTGCAGCAACATTCATAGAGTCATTGTTATGAGTGCTGCTAAAGTAGTTACCAACACCATTGTTGCCTTCTCTGTTGGTGAACTGATTGTAGCTGTTAAATTTGCCTCCACTCAGGTGCTTCTGGCCAAAAACATAAGCATTGAACTTGAGCGCCGAGTTCAACATGTTGAAGTTAAAAGTCTCAAACTTGTTCTCTTCTTGAAACCCAAATTTCTCCCTTGGACTTATTTCAACTGGACCCTTTGATAGATCAAGATTGTTCGAACGTTCAGCCTTTGATCTAGTCTGGTCAGCTAGTTTAGATGCAGCCATGAACCACTTCTGATCCTCTGAGGCTTTTGATTGTCCACGAAGCTCATCTCCTAGCTGCCAAAAGCTGCGCATGCTCTCCATCTTCACAAGCTTTTGTTTGATAGAGACACCTATCATAAACCATAACAAACAAAAAAACACTTTCACTAACCAATCCTAAAGATTTGGACTTTTCAATTATAGCAAGTTCCGCGAGTTAGTGATTCATCCATTTCGATATTTTTATCAAAAATTTCTCCTAAAGTACGAAACTTTACACTCATTTTACGATACCAACAATTTCAGAGTGTACCACCAAGGAAAAACGACAATCAAAAGTCCAAATCCAGTTCAGTTTTTTATAGAAATTTCTCCAAAAGTATGAAATTTTACACACAATTTACGATACCAATAATTCCAGAGAGTACCAAAGCGAACGACACTAGAGTTAAGAGCAAAGCACTGAGAAGTGAGATCTAAAACCAAAAGGAAAAAACAGAGTCCGGACAAGCATTGTGTAACAGGAAAGTAAAG